CCAACTCTTTTACCAACGAATAGTGGGATTGACCGTCACATTCCCCCACGGCTGAAAGGGCAAGCATGTTTGGTGGGTGGGGATTCGAACCCGCAGGTTGCGAGTCAAGCACCCTAACCACCTGGCCATGCCGGGCCAGTAGGTGAGTGAGTGAGTGAGGAGAGGTGGGGGGAGAATAAAAACAACGTTCTCCTAGTATTGAGTTGTTGTTTTTTTATGTCTTCAATGTCGGTCTCTGATATAAAAGTCCGGCAACATGTTAAATCCATCCAATATGCTAAGACACACTTTATGGATAACACGTTTGTAGCTGTGATCTACCTCCCAGCTGTTATTCAAACAATTTTATTCAATATTTCTTTTACTACTAGTCACATCATAAATTTTTCTTCACGTATTTGAAACTTGTTAAACTTCACAGCGTGAATCATAGACGATATTTACTTTCTTCGAAATTACTTTGGAGTAACATTTCAAATCATACACTTGTGCGAATATTAGATACACGTATTAATTAAATAAAAATAACTAGCAGTTCAATCAGTTTCTTTTAATAATTTGTTTTGGATCAGCATTAACTCTATACTATCTTCTCTATATTGAATATACCAATTAACACTCCCTATACAATCCTAATTTACATTTACATTCAGTTGTTTTGGAGTTGCAATCACACTGAGACTACATATGTGTGATACTCGTACCATCTGGTTAATTCTTAACTTGGAGACTTTTATTGACATTTATCAGGCTTAATACAGTGAATAAATAGATAAATTTACATTTGTTTGATACAGCTGTCATCCTAACAACCTTTGGAAATATTTTTTTGTTCACATTTTGTACACACAAATGCTCTAGAAATGACAACTGTGTATTACTTACAAAAGAGTCAGCGGAAGGATTGATGAAGCACAATCAATGTTAACTTTAGTAGTTGTAACCCTAATCATGATTGAGGCTGTTTAACTCCGTTTTTATATGTAATACTTTAACTTTGGATTTCTGCCATCTAAATCACTTGCTGAGGACAGTTATTATTGGCTATTAATGAAGAGGACATGATGAATAAAAAAAGTATTCAATTGTAAAATAAAGTTTAGATCTACTATTATAAAAACAACAACAAAATTTATGTGGATACCAATTGTGACAAAAACAAAAGTTGAAGTAAAAAAGGACAAGTGGAAATATCATTGTTTCCGTAATAGTGGATCCAAGCTTTAATTTAGGTTACTTTACAATCCAAAACTAACCTCTCTTTCATCTGACAGAATAATTACAGTGTCTTTATTAGCAAACAAGTCCTGGTTCTACAATTATGTACCTTATATAACTGCATCAGTTCATCCAGAGATCATGTAATTACTTATCATCATGATGCTTTAGTGTGAGAAACTGCTAGAATGTTCAGTAAGTACTGAAACACGGCATGAAGAAACATAAGGTATGAACACAGATTGAAATATTTTAATCAAGCAACCACTGTCTTGAAGTATATTGTGTGTGTGTGTGTGTACAAGAAACATGAGATATGAACACAGATTGAAATATTTTAATCAAGCAAGCACTGTCTTGAAGTATATTGTGTGTGTGTGTGTGTGTGTGTGTGTAGAAGAAACATGAGGTATGAACACAGATTGAAATATTTTGATCAAGCAAGCACTGTCTTGAAGTATATTGTATATTGTGTGTGTGTGTGTGTGTAGAAGAAACATGAGGTATGAACACAGATTGAAATATTTTAATCAAGCAACCACTGTCTTGAAGTATATTGTGTGTGTGTGTGTGTGTAGAAGAAACATGAGGTATGAACACAGATTGAAATATTTTAATCAAGCAACCACTGTCTTGAAGTATATTGTGTGTGTGTGTGTGTGTGTGTACAAGAAACATGAGATATGAACACAGATTGAAATATTTTAATCAAGCAAGCACTGTCTTGAAGTATATTGTGTGTGTGTAGAAGAAACATGAGGTATGAACACAGATTGAAATATTTTAATCAAGCAAGCACTGTCTTGAAGTATATTGTGTGTGTGTGTGTAGAGACAGGTATTTTTTACTACTTACTATGAATTATACAACACAGTAAGGGAAAAATATCTCTATAGCACTAATCAAGGTTATGTCTATTAGTCCATTACTTTAGACCAGATTTAGGGGAGATTATAAAAAGTAAAAATTATACTTACAAAAGATATCACTGCAGCTAGAAGTAAAATCTTTACTAACAGATCATCAAATTGTTCCAATATAAGCTGCCATAATGGTTTACCTGTGACACAAAAATATATGGTCAGCCTATGATACGAGACAAAAATATATGGTCAGCCTATGATACGAGACAAAAATATATCGTCAGCCTATGATACAAGACAAAAATATATGGTCAGCCTATGATACAGACAAAAATATATGGTCAGCCTATGATACAAGACAAAAATATAGGGTCAGCCTATGATACGAGACAAAAATATATGGTCAGTCTATGATGATTATTTCTAAATTATATACATGGAAATAAGACATTAAAAAATGTTTTCATGTTAAAAATTAATAATGGACTTAATAACAACAAGAAAGCATTCTGAAAAGTCATTGTTAAATATATAAATACAGCTGTACAGCATACTTACTAAGCTTATAAAGTTGGAAAATTAATGATAAACTGAAACCAATAAGTACGTAAAAAAACAAACAAACTTGGTATTGTTGATTCATACATGGAGCTTCACATATGTATATAATAATTCTTATTTACTGCCACAAAAATTTAATTTACTATCAACACCCATTAAGAATGCAGGTGTGTTCTGTTAGAGCAATGACACTTGCTTAAATGAATTTGAGAAAAGGAAACGGTACAATGTCAAAGTACAGTTGAGAGAAAGATATGATTTTTTTATTAAACATAATAAATAGGTAAATATTTTATTCTGTTTATGTAATGTACAGCTATAAAAATATACATGCAACCTAGAAAACTA